TTTTTGATTTAGTATTGATACATTGTTCGAAGTTCCCAAAACTGTATATATTTCCGTCTAGAATTCCTTCAGGTCCTTTTGATGTAGCATCTAACATTTTAACTGCCCATAAAGTAGATTTTTGCTTGTGTGAGTTATATAATTTCATATCGTTTGAGCATTTTGAATTGGTTTGTGACGACGACCAGGGAGTTCCGTACAAAATGTTTGCGATTGTTTGACCGAGCAACATAGGCGATCCAGTATACTCTACGGTAGTGACGTTGTCTGCGGGTGGTTTTAGGTTTTTGGGTGATGGAATTTTCTGTACCCATTGGGTCACCGTTGTTTGGGTAGTGCTAGAAAATATTTCAGGCTGTGCATCTTCTGTAGACACCACACTATCCTGCACGTCGTACGATGCTTTGATCGGTTCGTTGTGGAAGCTTGTGGTTCCATTCTGTTTTGAGGAAGAATCATCTGGAATAATAGTTTCGGTTGTTGATTCGCTGTTCACGTCTAATGGTACGTCGGGCTGGGGTATTTTTTCAGAAACAGAAACTCCACTTAAATCTACAGAAATATTTGATTCAGGTAATTTTCCCGTAGTCAAAGCTCCATCCAGATTTAACGAGGCATCAAGCTCGGACAGTTTTCCACCGATAGAAGATTCATTTAAGTCTACAGAAATATTTGGTCGTGGTAAATTTTCTATAATCGAAGCTCTATTTAGGTCCAATGATCCCTCAAGCTGAGGCAGTTTTCTAACGATAGGAGCCCCATTTATATCTACAGAAATATTTTGTTCAAGTAACTTTCCCGTAATCAAAGATTCATTAATGTCCAATGATCCCCCGGGCTGAAGCAGTTTTCCAACGATGGAAGCTCCACTTACATCTACAGCAATATTTGGTTCAGGTAATTTTCCCGTAATCGAAGCTCCATTCAGATTTAACGAGGCATCAAGCTGAGGCAGTTTTCCATCGATAGAAGCTCCATTTATATCTACAGAAATATTTGGTTCAGGTAATTTTCCCGTAATCGAAGCATCATTCAGGTTTAACGAAGTCTCGGGTTGAGGCAGTTTTCCTACAACAGAAGATCCATTCAAATTCAACGAATCATCAAACTGAGGCAGTTTTCCATCAATAGAAGCTTCATTTAAGCCTAACGAGATGTCCGGTCGTGGTGATTTCGTGGAAGCCCCATCGAGGTTCAACGAAGCCACGGGCACCGGGAATCCAGCCCGAACAATGGGATCGCCACCATCGGTGTTCCGCCGGGACGAGAAAAGCGGAAGCCCTTGCGCAACGATACTGCCCGCGAGACACGCGACGTGCAATGCAATGAACGCGCTAACCAGTGACGACGAGATACGGAAATGCATTGTTGACCTATCCGGGCGCTCGTTCGACTCGTTCGATTCGCGAAGAAGCACCGCGCGTACAACAATGATCGTCGTCCCGTGCAAGTCAACGGATATATACGCACATTGGGTTGAGCGGTTGCAGTAGGGGTTACACCACAATCGGCACGACTGGTTTACGTGTAGTGCACGTCGTCGTGTACCGATCATAGCAAACCGGACGAGGTGAGACGAGTTTCATTTGTGCACGCGACTGGGATCCGTTACCGCTACCTCCCACACGGTCTCGAACAGGAAAAGTTTTCAAGTTCACTTTCGGCGTCCGATTACTGGCTTGATGTGCCCCACCGCCGTGGGCAAGTTAACGAATTTCCATAGTACGACGACTATCATGTGATTGTGTCGGAGTGTACGCTTTTGTTTTCAATCGCAGAAGTTACAACAATATTGTGCAAGAGCGATGCTAGAAATCAGGAGGGGGGAGGGCAATCATCAAAATATGTTTACTACCATTTATTAAATATATTTTTAAAGGTTTATACATGAAAAATTTTATCTTATTTTATGATCCTTAATTATGATTACGAGGGAAGTACAAAAAATGAAAAAAAAATCTCGATACTTAAAAATATTTGTGAAATTGAATTGTTAAAAAAAATTAAATTAAAATTAGTGTTTGATGAAAAACTGCGTCATCGGGTAGGAAATTATTATTTGAATACTTAGAATATAATTTTAAAAAAGTATAATGAAAAATAAAAATTTCAAAAGTTATAAGTAGTATTGTTATAAGTATTGGGTCATATATTGGTCAATTTAAAATTTCGTTAAAAATGAATATATTTATTAGCTATCGACAGGGGAGCAACTGTCCCTTCTCGACCCTCTTAGATATGCCCTTGAATGTAATGCATTGTCTTCCGGTATCGTATATTAAGTGAGTAGGAGTCACATGGTGTAGGAACATTTAACTCGTCCTACTATATCGATTATTTAGACGATTTAGGAAGTTGTTGATTGAACGTGATATGCTTTGTTTAATAATCGTTCGTACGATTTAAAACGAGCCGTCAAAATGTAATCTTGAAGAATACTTAGCTCAAAGTGAAGGTCATTTATACAAGTTTATTAGATCCTTGAGATGTGTAAATGGAAAAATATTTAAAAGTAAACATTTAAAAAAGTTTTAAATTTTAACTTTAATTGAGAATGTTCAATGCTATTCTTATTGCAATAACTTTAATTAAAAATAATTAATCGTATATTCTATACAAAATATTGTAATATAGGTATTAAGATATAGATTATATTTAAGTTAATCTTTATCACGAATAATGAAACCATTTTATTCGTATAAAATAAATAAAGGTTGTAATTTTAAATTCAAATATCTGATAACTTACAATAATACTAATTAAATATGTTTAAAAAAGCTCATTTAAAATAAAATAAAAAATAATAATAAAATAATCATTGATTTTATTTATATAAATTTTATATATTTATTAATAAGCTAAGAACAAACATAACAGTAATATGACATAGACGAAAAATAATATTTGTAATCTTAATATTTTTAATCAAAATATCTTGTGATTTTAATGGTGATAATATACTAATAATAGGTGTATCGAGTTACGTTTAAAATTTTATAAATTAGATATTTAGGAAAAATGAACTGACGATAAACATTTTTGTTTATTATTTCAGCATCAACGACAAGTTTATTAGCTTACATCTGCCTTACAATTTAGGTTTACATTATTTACATTACATAATAAAATAAAATTTACATTGGGTCCTGTTACATTAATTTAAACGTTTAAATTTTTTTAAATCAGATTCACCAATTGCTGTTTTGGTATATATATTACTATACGTTATACCATTTAATAATAATTCTTTTAAACGAAATTTAAATCACAGTTTATTAGTTTACTGTTAAACACAATATTATTTAAAGATTAAGTTTTAAGTTTAATAATGTAAAATCATTATATACATATATACTACATCTATTCTTTGTCAATACTGGGATAATCACTCATTGAATTACTGATTAAAAAACTGATTTACTTTAAAACATCCATATGAATCTGTTTAATAATTGAAAAGATAATGAAAAAAAAAATGCTTTGTGATTTGGTTTTTAGCCTTAGTCACTTAAATTACTGATAAGCCTGATTTACGAAGCTCTGACGTGTATTATAAAGGGATCATTTATTATTTTAAATTTAATCATGTTCTATTGACATGGTATACGGTTTTTATTATTAAGCCTACAGTTAAATCTTGGTTTTTTTTCGGGAAATACATTGTGTATACATTCTGAACACATAATTTAAGTCAACGCACTTATTTCCTTCAATGTATAATTGTACATAGGGTTGTAAATTTGAAATATTTGACATGAAATATTGAAAAATATTTTTTTTTACGTTTGAGATAGTGACTGTTAAATGTCATTTAATTAATTGATATTGTACGATATCGTTTCGGTATAGTCTTGGGCTTTTCCATTTAACGTGGTATAGTCTATCAGCTGCCTGTAAATAGGTAACGACGGGGGACTGTAAAAATTCCAAAAATAATTTTGCTGACAGTATTTCAGCCGAAAATATTCCAGCCGGCAGTATTTTAACTGACAAATATTTAGACCGAATAATATTTTACCCGAAAATATTTTACCAGAAATTATTTCAGCCGAATAATATCTTGGACGGTAGTATTTGATCCCAAAAAAATTTAACTGACAATATTTCATTCGACAAATATTATGGCCGAACCGTATTTTAGCCGACGAATATTTTGGACGAAAATAACTTTGATGACTAACAATCATGTCAAAATAGTAATTTCCAGAAAAAAATATGTTATATATTACAAAATCTATAATTTATCAAAATGATACAAAATGTTGTATATTTACACATTTATTATCAAGTATTTAGAAGAATGTTGGTCAATTAGATCACTAATTTTGAGATCAACTAGATCCTTAGGGGGGAAATAAAATCGTTTAACTAAGAGAACCGCGATTATTACAATGTAGATCTATATCTAAATCTATTGATGGCCCAAAGGGATTTAGATGACAGGAGAACAGTTTATCCCACGGGTGATATTATAGATAACCATGGGATCTAGTAGACCCGGGATCTAAGTGATTCATGACCGATAAAATAATTGTCTAAGATACTGTCGGCTATAATATTGTCGGTTAAAATACTGTTGGTTATAATATTGTAGTACAAATTATTTGTCGGGTAAAATACTGCCGGTTGAAATATTTGTCGGCTAAAATATTGTTCTGATAAAATACATGTCCAACAAAAAATGTTTCGGCTAAAATATTTTTTGTCTGATATGCGGTTCGGACACAATATTTTCGGATATTCTATGCGCTCCCGGTAACGACTACAGTTATGTTTAATATTAATATATATGTAGCAACGAAAAAACCGACGCATTACTATTGATAGCAGCTATTTTTATTTTAATATTCGTCTAATAAGTAATAGTTCTAGTCGCCTGTGATTTATTTACATGTTACTAGTCAAGTTTTCTGAAGTGTTTTCAGCTATATAAATTTTAACTTCCATATTTTCTTGAGTATATTAATGAGAACATTATACTTGACTAATTTATGATTTGTTTAACTACGCAAAGGAGCTTATTTTTATTTTATTATATTGTTATCTTTAAATAATATATTTATATTATATGAATTCAGTCATTTTAATTTTAACTTCCATACTTTCAATAGTATACTATTTAAAAATGTATATTTACCTAATGGCTAATTATTATGATTTTATATTTTATACTGTTAAGTTATTTGTTTACCTATGCATAGGAGATAATTTTTATTTTTTTATTAAATTAGATTTATTTAATTAATGCTGGTATAATATTGTGTATTTCACAATATTCACAATATATTTTATAAATATGTGCTTAACTTTTAAACTCACTAGGTACCGATATACTTTTATGATGAGAAACTTCTGAAATAATATGATAGCTGATGAGTAATGGGACTACCGGCAACTTATTTATAAATTCATCAATATTTTGTAAAATTTCTTCAGGTATTACAATGACTATTGGTCTTTTACTTACTCTACTTAACTAATATTGTGTTAATTGTTAATTCATATAAATAAGTTTTTATTTCTATTTAGTACAATCAATAATACAAAAAGTATTCCATAAAACATAAAACATAAAGCATTATATTTTTACTGAAATGAAACATTTTTACTTTTTACTCAAATTATATATTTCATGAAAATAAATTTCAAGAAATTTTTCAACTCTAATTGTACATAACCTATTAATTAATACAATGTTTATGTGAAAATAATATTTCTTATTAGTTTTTTGCTTACATAGAACAACAAAAGTCACCATATTTTAAAATGAATCAACATTTTTAAGCCAAATCATTCACATGATTTTTGATAAATCATCGATCGTTAGACGGTATTGCATTTGTTCGTCAAATTTTTTAAATACACTTACCTGGACTACTCTTTGTAATAGAAAATTACCAAATAAATGTTTATATTATATGAACATCAAACTTATTGATTTAATGTATAATTGTAATTAAGATTATTTTTTCAAAAAAAAAAAAAAAAAAAGATAAAAAATTATAAGTAGAAAATACCAAAAATAAATAAACGATATATTTATGTATTCAATGTTAATACAGAAGATTATTCTTATAATAATACATTTTTTTTTATAGTTTTACTTGTATATTTAGAAAATATGAATTTGTATTTTTAATAATATTGATACATTAATAAAAAAATAAAAATTAATGGCTGACAATAATGATTATTTAGATGAATTCTTAAAAAAAAGTTATGAAATAAAATAAAAGATAATCTATGGTATTTAACAAAATACTCTCAGCAAATTCCGTTTTGACATTTTAAGTATACTAAAATAGAATCAATGTAAAAAATAATGCAAAAATGCAAAAAATGTTTTTGTTTCATTTTCTTGCAATTTTTAATTCTAAATGATTTTAAAAGACCATTACCTTATTTGCTTCAAAATTTCTTTTCTTTGTATATGAGTATACAACTTTATGATACTATTTACTTTTTTAAACTCTCGTCAGAAAATTCAATGGCTTTAAATTCAAATTTAAAGACAACATTTTGTGTTCTTCGAATTGCAATGATATACAGTTGGAATTATATTTATTTAGCTATTGAAGTCATCTGGTTTAATAATTAATAAGTATTTAATAAGTACTTACATTTCTTAGGAATTATAATTCGAATATTTTGAAGTACCATCTTTGGATGCTGTTTTTATTATAACTCCATGTTATTCTCATTATAGAATAATAAAAATGAAGATTTAATTTAATATTCTCCCAACACAATATTTATTTGCGTGAATATTTGCTCAGTATAAACTAAACATAGTGTTGCCGTCGAAATAGAGATAATTATAATATGATATAGCATCGGTCGCGAAACAACAGATCGACCCCCATAAATACTCGCGCACATCAGCCGTTATTTTTGTTTTAATTATATTTTGTGTTTTGTGAATTATATAATATGATAATCAGTTATCGGTGTCGCTGGCTTGCCGATGCGCGTAGTTTTTAACACGGCTGTCGCAATTCTTGTCGCTTTCCGTACGTCGTCGTGAAATAGCTCGTAGCGTCGTTAAAAACAACATTTTTTTTTTTTTTATGCGTGCGCGAATCGCCGTTTTTTTTATTATACTATTATAAAAATTGTTATATGCACAAATTGTATTAATTAATATTATTGTAAATGTGTTAATAATTTTCTGCAATTGTGAGCCATAAGGGCAAATAGTAATATTTTTGTTTAAGTGTGAGCTAATCGCTAATATAAATATTATTTTAATCATATTATTGTTTTATCATTATTTATTTATTTGCTATTTATTTATTACTGGGCCAAGAGAGTCGTGAACTTTTATATACGTTTTAGGGATAGGTAATTGTGGCTAGCCAGTTTTGCGCTCCATCAAATAATGAGTTTTTATTTATTTATTTATATTTATTGTTTTTTTTGTACTTGTGTGATTTATTCGAACGATTATTGAGCTATTTATTTAAATTTTTGTTAAACACGGCTCTAATAGCGATAGTGTGTTAGTGTGAGAAGCGTTATTAATTACCAAATTTTTGTGTGACTATTAGCTTTAATTTTATTAATTTGATGTAATTTAATCGTTTTTGTACATAACATTAGTAATTAAGTATAATACTCACATTTTTTATATACCGATTTATATTATTTATTATTTATTTTTGGGCCAGAAGGGCCAAGGGTTATTATTATTATTCGATTTTAATTATTCTATATTGATATGATTTATTGTTTTTATTATTGATATCTTAATACAGCAACATATCGTTACCATTTTATACTATTTTTATTTATTTTAGTTACCCCTCTTCTAGTTTCAAGTACACACAAAATACACACGTAACACACAATATTACAACATAGCTCACTAGTATTTTCGAGGCGAACCCAACCACTACTAGTTGAACTATCACACCACTACACACCAAAAAAATTAGCTAGTTGGTGGTGTACGACACGCACAAGTCGGTGTCCGGTAGTGCGGCATAATATTTGTAGCACCCGGCCCAAACACACAATTTAATAGGTTTTTAATCAAACAATTATTTTAAAATCAAAGGTCAAAAATTAACGATGAATGATGATCATAGCTCTTACATAATAATTCCAATTTAATTTAGTAATTCGCATGTTTTATGGATTAAGTTTTTTATTTACATAAAATAATTTAATTTATTTGTCTATGTAGAATTTAAATTTCAGTTTTAATAAAGTGCTTCAATAAATTGATAAATTTGAATAACACGTAGTGTATTCTCACAGGCTTATATTCTAAGGTTATGCTTTTTTTTTAATAAAACACTGACAGGAAACACACGAAACATAATCGATCAGTTATTCAATTATTAATATTATTGGCTGATCATCCCAACACATTGTATATTACCAATTGATCGGTATGCTGTGTGAAGTGTGGAAATTCAAGATTCCATAACGACGTGTAACTAATTAGTTACTTTTTGAACTGAGTAATGTCATATTTACGAAAATAATATAAAATATACATCAGTACCTAAAACGTAGTAAAACAACACACTATTATAATATTATTCCGATTTGTAAATAGTATTTTTACATTACATTAAACAGTAATATATTATATAGTTTTTTTACACCTAATAATATTATATCACATCATCATTTAAATGGTTATACAAACATTGATTTCACAAATTCAACAACTTTCATTAAATAAAAGCTCATTCAGTATCCTAAATTTAGTTTTTTTTTTGGTGATAATAATAATTAAATTTAATATTTTATTTAATTAACATCGTTTTGCATTTATATTTCAAGATTTGGATGTATACTGTGCTTGTTATCATTATTATATGGATTTATAATTTGTGATTATGATTATGATTTGTTAAATGTTTCGATGGAGATTATGCATGTGTACAGGATAATGTTGAATGAGTATTTATATTTTTTGTGATTTTGATACTTGAACTACATTTTAATGCGCTGACTTATTAGTTAGATGAGATATTATTTCTTCCGTCTATATTCAATTCATCTTGTTCAGCTGAAAATATTGTTTGAATAATATGTTAATAAAAAATACATGGAAGACATTTGAAATTAATATTGTTATGCAAATATATGTTTTAATTACCTGCTAGAAACATTCTCATTAATTTTTTGATCATTTTTCTGATTGGTTCTTCAATAATAAGATTAATAACCAATGCGTAAGAAAAGGCTGTTAGAATATCGGCATTGATTTTCCAATACTAGAAAATAAAAAAAATATTTGTTAATCCGGGATATGCTTTCTTTCTTCATTTTTAAAAATCAAAATCATTTACTAATTTAAAAAAGTTTTCATATTGGGGTTGACGAATTTGACCAATGCTTTGCAATTGAACAATAAAATGTGACAGGTACAGAACATATGATATTCTTGCTATGACAATGAATATTTTGCATTCCATAAAACTGCTAAAATAACCTAATTAAACAATTTAAAATATATTTTTTTTTGTTTATTTTTTTACTATAAATACATAAGCTCCTTAAATGTATTTCGTAATGAAAATTTATTCATAGTACCTATACTATAATGTGAATAGTATAAAATAAATTATATTACAGTACCTACCTATGCAGATAATTATTTCGGTTCATGAATGAGTTGTTTTCAGTATGCATATTTTTATATTTTCTTCGAATAACGAATATATGATTATAGAATAGAAGCAATAAAAAATGTAAAAGTTATTGAATTCTGTACATTTTAAAATATAAGTATATTCGAAGTATCCATATATTATATAGGTTTATGTATTATTTTTGCGTGGTTTATATACGTAACGAAATCGAGTATAATCAAGCGTTACACTGCCTTAATAAACGAATAATGATGTGTATTGATAGATAAGACGGTTTGGATTTTAGGAACATAAACACTCGGGGAAACATGATAATAAGCAAGTAAATTATGTACAAAGGCTACCACATGAGTTTCGACGGAGCTCGTTCTTGTTGAATTAAATATTTTTCTAGGAATCTCACTGCTGATTCATGCTGCTGAGACATTCCATAATATTCAATTTAATATCAAACAAATGCAGTTACCATATTAGTAGACAATAATAATATTATTAGTTTACATATTATCTATAGTTATATAAAAAGACCAGATTTGATATGGTAATTTTTTTTTTCGATTAAAATAAACTAAATCTGATCAAATATAACATATAGTCGATATAAACCTCATGTATTTTGCCTCTTTAGTCTTATTTATACAACTGTCAACGATTTTGCAATTTTTTGTGCAATGAATAAAATATTTAACTCAATTGAATTAAATGTTTAAAAACGCTATTATGACACACCGATGAGCAGATAATGTATTTCTATACTATAAAACGTAATTTTTTGATGATTTGTCCTATGCATTTGATGCTGCAAATATTATGTCAGTTAAGGCAGCTGTTAATTTGAATATAACGCCTACCTAGTTGAATAGTTTTAAATATGCATCAATAACGGGTGTAGACGTAGAAGATAATTTTTGGTTATACTATTTTTACTATATTTTAATTTTTATGTAATTAATAATAATGATTAATAATTTGGAAATACGAGTATATTCAATTATCAATTTTATTTAAAAAATTAACATTTATCTAATTTTTTTAATACTTCTTTAGAACTATTACCATGTAATTTATTATACTTAATTATATTAATTATAATTATGCGATTTCCGCATAATTTTTGGTGAAACTATAAAATTTTAATAAATTATATTTTTGTGTTTTCAATTCAATTAAATCCGGAATTGAGTTATAAATTATAAGTATATAATAAATAGCTTGTCAAATTCTAACGTTAGTGAAACACTTCATTTGAATATTCAGGATAATACTAATAGGTATAAATTATTAATGTAGAAAAAACGTATTAAATTTGATATCTGCACTGTACCCTATAAGAACGTTTTTTTTTTATCATGTTATTCACACCTCGTTTTCAAAAACTTGAGCTAGTGTTGTTGTATTTATGAATTATTAATTTTGTGAACAAATTTAATGCTTTAAGTTTAGTCAAATACAATTGAACTTTTATTATTCTTCAGTTTATAACATTCTTTATTTCGGAATACAGTGATTTTATAAACGGGACGACATTCAATATTTTTATTTGATATATGTAATGCGTATATTTTATCTTCCTCTCCAGTTGCAGTTTAAATCAATACACTGAGACAGCTAAATTACAAACGAAAAAAGTTTCAAAGCTACGTTTTATAGAATATATTGGTTGGACAATTTATAAATGCCTTTCTTGCGGAGTTTTGTGGGAATATAATAATATATTTTGATATTTTTAAAATTATTAAGATAACTTGTACATAAAATAGGAAATAATGGACTGTATAGGATAAATTACAAGTATTTACATTTTTGCATTATTTTATGATTTCTGAATTTTTCAGGATTATAGAAATAATAAAAAAATAATGATATTTATCGATACCTGTTTGAGTTACTGAGCAAAAATGAATAATTTGAATTGTATTAATATAGTTGAATATTATGCATTTAGCAAAATAAAATGTTTTAAAATAGTATGTGTTAGTTTTATCTTTGGTTGTGTTGTGATCATGAATCTAAACGAGGAAAGTAATATATTTTTAAAAATAAAAAACTCAAGTTATTTTAACTTAAATTTGTAGAGACATAACTTGTAATTCATGTTATTGAAGTTAGGGTTTACATGTTATTAGCTATATGTAAAAAAATAAACGAATTTATATAATACATACATTGGATTAGAATATTCTTTTGATGGAATATTTCTTTTTGAGAATTTGTACAAATACTACAACTGTAAAAACTATCACTTTTTTAAAATTTAAATGTCAGTGATTATATTGTTTTACCTCGAATATTCTTATGAAGTGTTATTATGTTATATGATAATCGATTTGGAATCATCAAGTTATGAAATATTATCGGATTTGATAACTATCGTTTCGAATAGATATCAGATTATTTAATCGTTTTTTTAAGTTTTAATAAATTTGTAGTAGTTTTGATATTTTATTGAATGTTTATTGAATGTACTAAATGCAACACATAATCGTGAACAAAATTCAAGTCTTTGAATCCAAAATCACTCATCACATTCAAATAAAAATAAATCACGTACTGAATACGTTTTAATGTCATATACTTGATTTATTACTTTTGTTAAATCTTTGTAAAAAAGAAAAAACAACGGAATCTTGTGGTTTGTTAAGTTATCTTCAACTCTCTATCATATAATATACTACATATTTAAAGGTTTTAAAATACTATGGTAATATAAATATTTTTTCATCTTGAAGTAATACAAAATAATTTGGACCACATGTAAAATTACTTTCTAAATGATTACATTAACATTTAACTCCACTTTCTAATACAAAAAAAGGATTAAACAAAGCTTCCGAAGCATTAAATTCAACCATTACTATTATAAAAAACTTTTTGAAAAAAATAATTTAATGATTGTAAGCCGATCGGTTAGTGCACACTATACGACAAAGGAAAACTTCCGGGTTTACCGATAACTGATGTAGTTAAATTGAATAAGTGTTCATCTGTAGAATTTGATGGTCGTGAGTTTTAAAAAAGTCTCGCGTATTTAGCATGCACTAAATAGTCTACAAGTTATCTATATTTTGTCTTATAATAATGATTGGTCACCCATTTTCCCGGTAAATAATACTGTGATTGATAACTGAGCGGTATTAAATTTTATAAAAATTACCAAAGTTGGATAGTGAGCCGACAACCAACACGTACGACACGGTCAATGCGTAAACGATTCTCTGGAACGTAAAGTATAGTAAGTGATTCCAAGGGTTGTATTTCAATCTCGGAAGGTATAAGTAGCCGGTCACGAAATAGCATGAGATATGTAGTAAAATGCACAATATTAAACCAATCGTCCTACTTTTCTGGGAAGAAAAAAAGAGAAAGAAATTATATTATTACTATTACTACAAGATCAGAGATAAACAAACGCAGAAATCAATGCAATAAAAATATGTGTGGAAATTAAAAGCTAGTTCTTACCGCTGAGAATTTTAATTTCGATTTTTTCACTTGCATGTAAACGTACGCGGATGCGATGCCAATAAGATACGTTGTAATCCGGTGGTGACTTTTTATGTAAACTCTTTGGAAATGTTCTGTTGTCCTGAGATTTTTTATGTGACTGAAAAACAATTGATTAAATAATTACGTTCCGATATTTGATGATTGGACATTATTTAAAAGGTATGGTTAAAAAAGTTTTATCAATGACTTCTGAAAGCATGGGCAGATAATTACTGTAAGAACAACTACATTAGTATGTTTCACCGCAGATTGTATCAGTAATCATTTGTCATTTACAAAGTAGCAAACTCATAGTTTATGAACATTTCTAATAAGCTTTCGGCTTTAATTTACATAAATTAAAGTCATTATGAGAGCTTTGTAAAAATAAATTGATGACACTATCTGCCTAAAATATTTCATTCTAAAATACTCGTATTATTATGTTTATATTTAAATGGGTTTTTTTAGATTCTAAGAGAAACGAGGACTATATTGGAATCTTATACAATAAAATTTTAGTTGATGTATTGGAGGATAATTTTTATATTTTTCAAAAATTTTTCGATTAACTGAGAAGATGGAAAAAAAATACAAAAAACTTTAATCACAAATGAAATCGACGTTTCTTGCAATTCTCACTTTTCACAGATTAGTATTTTCCCTCAATTTTTTTTTTTTATTTCTATGTACACGATTTGAACCAGAAGGATTATCATTAGAGATTTTTGATAGGAAATGTTAAGATCAATGATTGGTGGTTAATAAAATATTATTTCAAAGCACGATGAGCATTTTGGAATTTGTTTCACAATATTTTTATTGCCCGAATGACTTGCAAATACTCATACCTTCTCTTATATTTCTTCGGTATATTTACTTATTTACAAGTAAACGATAATTGCCGAGGAGTTCCTACTATGCTATAATAATAGTTTTTCTGATTTGATAAATAATCAGAGTATTAGATTGATCAGGAAATATTGTTTACTTTGAACTTCAATGAGGTCATTTTACGATTTTCAAACAGTTTTTGAGCTATTGTTAAAAATTTCATGTTATCTTAGTTTTTTTCGATAATTTTGGTTTAACAAAATTCTTGAAAACATAATACAAAGTTTCTCACAAAAATTGCATATTAATCAATGAAAAATTGGATTTGTTAAAAAAAAATAATTACGAGTGTTTGAATAATACATTTTGTCACATTGATAAATATCACGAAAGTCTGCATTATTTTTTTGATTAATTTATGTTATTACACTTAAAGCTTAAAAATTAGAAACATGATTTTCATTCAATTAAATTTACAGAAAAAAAAAAAAATTTGGAAAGAGATAAAATATTTTTAGAAGTGTTACGAAATAAAATGTTATTAAAATCAAAATGCTATTCACATTTTTGTAACTCACTCGATTGTAAAGTCATACCCAACTTAGTAGTTTTTATGTTATTATATAATTTTTAACATTATATTATTAATGTCTTAATGAAGTTGTCAAGCCCTAATGAAGGGTAAACTTATTCAGATGATCATATAAGACTAACAATTTTCACAATATCTATTTTATTATCATAATATATTAGACAGATAAATATTATACAATACATGGATTCACAACAATTACAAGTGTAATATATCTGACATATAATTTACCTATGGAAATATGGCATGACACCCCATTGTTGATTGTCATAAATATATTTTGCTGGTATGTAAACAGATACAGCAAACATAACACCGAAAATTCCAAAACCAGCTTTCCTCCATCTCCAAAGTATGTAAGTCAAGAATGTTCCAATTATGAAAAAATGCATATCACATGCTAAGTACCATGAGTGAAGCATACACTAAAAAAAAAAAAAATCGATAAAGACGATATAATATTAAAATTAAAAAATTAATAGTATAAATATAGAACATCATAATTAAAAATAATAAATTACAATATATGCATAGACAAATTAATTTACGTATGATAAGCATAATAATATGATACAATATTGTATTGCAAACTTTATCTTACTTTAACATTGTTTTCCAAATCCTTAAATTAAAAAACATATTATTTTAACGACGATACTAGATTTGATAAATATTATAATTTAAAGTATATATATATATATATATATATATATACATTATGATTAAATAAAAAATATATTTTGCTCAGCTAAATTCGTAATATAAAAGTTCTATTATTCAATATAATACTAAAAGACTATAATAAAGTCTTCCTAAAAGCATCATCAAATATAAATAAATATAAAAAGTAAATACCGGGTGTACCGATTACCCTTAAAACCTATTATTATCAGATGGGGAATATGGTTGAATGCTGCACTTGTCTATGCAAAGCATTTTGTAATATTTTAACGTGTAGTTTAAAGTTTTAAAGATTATGGTTTTAGAGTTAAAAAATTGAAAGAATTTATACAAAATAATGCAAGTTGAATGTAGCTTTGTATTCAGAGCTTGTGCGAGTTATTTACGAATATTACAAACGTGCAAAAATCAAATATTTTAGGTTTTGATGTTGTTTTAAATTGTTGACAATTATTCTGGGTACGAAGTATTTTTTGGTGCAGTTATACAACTTAATTGTGTTCGTGCTGTTTATTTTTATTGCTTATAAGTCAAGTGTTAATGATACTATTGTTATTGTTATTATCGTATAGTTTTTCGAAAAAATAATTAGTCCTATTACTATTATAATCATTATAAAATTTATCCAATGCAATATTGTTTTATTACGATGCGTGTATTTTGAATTCATAGACCCAGGAAAAAATTTGAATGGCGCATAATCCCGAGAATTACTCCAGTCAGACAAGATAAACGAGATAGAGTAGGACATGATTACTAAAATTAAAACGTAAATACTCCAATGCAGTACTTAAATACCAAACTTGGAAGTATTCCGAATATAGTATTTTGACACTGTATTCAGAATAATTTTTTTTTAGAGTATTTAATATTGTGTTTTTAATAATTTTTACTAGTATTCTAAATATAGTAATCTCAATACTGTCTTAACCTTCAATCACATTTTTAAACTGTTCTAAAAACAATCGAAAGTGAATCTTTTTTTAGAGCTAAACATTTTTTTTTATCAAAAAGTCTCAAAAAATATCTTAATATATATTTTGAAACATTGACAGTAAAACAAGTGTTTTTAAAATTTAACACACTACACCCTAGCATTGCTGCTATTCGAAGCATATTTAGCATTGATAGGGCTATTTAAAAAAAAAAAAAAGTGATATGATGATTGTTACACATTTTGAAATATATTGATGTTAAAGATTTATAAATTCTTAAATAATTAATTATTAATTTTTAATTTTTTTATGTACTTATTTATATAAAATACAACAGAACTGACCGATTTAGTCTTAATTAACTATGTGATAACTTATTTTTTTATATTTTGTATATCGTATGTATTGTATTGTTTTTTTCGTCAGATATATATTTAGAATAAAAAATGTAATTTTGATAGAAACACAAATTAATGCATATTAATGTTATATGACGGTCAGTTCTTTCGTTTACTACTAGTATAAAAGTACACAAATACTAATAAATGTACGAGCATTAGTATTATATCTGTATAGTACAAGTATATTATTAAAAGTCAATAATAACTTTGAGTATTATTCTTCATAATTATTTAATAAAAAAAATTACCTAATTACAAAATTTAATACTTAAATTAATCACATTATTACAAATATTACAATTTGAATTTATATAATTTTTAATTAATATTTAATAATATTTTATTTATTCATAAATATCGAATTTAAAAAATAAATAATTTTTAAAATTTGAATTATTATTTTAAAATCTCCAAAAAAAAAAAAAAAAAGTATACATATATATTCTAAATATATTAGGAATACTTTTTACGAAATACTACAAATACTTAAGAAATATTTTCATCATATAATATTTGAAATACTTTTAAAAAGTATCTGACGCAAGTGTGTCTTGATACTAATACTGACTGATACTGTCTGATCCAATCGATAAAGTTTTTTAACTAAAAAATCAAAATAATAATAATAATATATTTTTTTTCACTGATTGTTTTTATAAAACCCGTTTAATAACCTTTTTATTTAAAATTAAGCTTAAGGATTTATAGTTGTTTTAATTTGATGCTTTTTAAATTATATTTTCATTTTCATTCTATTTCAATCATTCCATGAAAAAATAATATTTTATGTCTTATGTGTTAAATATTTAATTATTTTAGATATTTAGTATGTACCATAGAGCTTATCGAAAAAAATTAAATTATGTTTTTAGTTTAATATTAATCTGTTTCCATAACGTATACATAGAATACACATATTATAAAATATATAACTATGAAGATCCATTTATGAAATACTGCAAAAATTGCAATACGATATGAATACGAAATGCGGTTTATATGATAGACAGTCAACCGTGTACGTAAAATGTTCACGTTTAGCCATTAACACAAAAAATTGAAGTAAAAATGATACAACAACAATGATAAATCTCTAAATTACAGTAGCGAATTTCGGCGTCACCTCGACTGTCCGTCACGGAACATGATTAATTGAGGTCGTCGCCGTTTATGGTAGTAGCAAGGTCGGTAAAAAGTGGTTCGGAACCAACCATGTGTCACATATGTTAGCAGGATAGTACCGAAAACCACAATCCGTGGCTTATCAGTCACATTTCAATAATTTTCAGCTTATAACACATGGTACGGGCTGAGTCTAGTCATGAGTCGTGATAGTCGGAAGAGCTTTTTTCGCCTACGGGGCTTAGAGAACGAATCCAAACCGTCGTAACCGGTTTTAACGCTAACCGATCGACTAGTCATTACAATTAATTGATAACGTCAATTCAAAACGTAATAGGAACTTACCTATGAAATGAAATATCAGTAACGGACATTGATTAAAATACCGAATTAATATGAATAAAATATGGACGTACAAATATATCGCGATTTACAATACACTGATTGTTCAAGAGTAATATGATATGATTGCATTAAAATTAGAAAAAAAAAAACTTGTTTGCGATTATAACAGTTATGTCATTAACATGGTCTAGTTTTGTAGTTATTCTTTGAAATAATAATATGGATAATGTGATCATAAAAATAAATAATTTGTCCTTGGTGAGAAAAAATCTTTTTGCGATTCACTATTATTATTTCTTAGTATTTATGGTACTTTTCATTTATTATTTTTCATTTAATAAATTAAAGGTTATACCGAATGGTATAATAAAAAAAAAAAAAATAAATAAATAAATAAAAATACGTTCAAAAGACATTTCTTATTTTCTAGAATAAAACTTTTTGGCTAGCAAAATATTAAAATAATATATAGTTATTAAATATATTTCGTTCATGACAACTTCATTTCTCAACAAGTTTTTTCTTTTACAAAACAGTAATGGATCAATCCTTATTATTTCTGAGATATTTATAAAATGTTCACAATTTTTTGGGTTACTTAAAAACTAATATAAATATATACATTAATTTCCAAAATAACGTAGTTTATTTTTTTTATTTAATTGATAATGTAGAAAAATATTTTGTTATGTAAATGTAAAATTATGACATTACGGATATCATTTTATTTAATGGAGATAAAAAAATCTAATAAAAAAGAATTGAAATATGACGTAAAATCCTTTATTAACTCTTAAGGAGTTCAATAATTTTTATGCTTTGTTAATGATTTTATAGACAACTTTTAACGGTTTTTTATTTAAATCGTGGTATATAGTTTTAATAAAAAATGCGATAATGCTTATAGAGTGTGCTAAATTACTTTGTATTTTAAAATTAAATTCAATAGCAGAAACTAGATAATGTTTTTAATGATACTCTAGAGATCAGATAAAATGGCTTACAATAACCAAAATTCATTTTAGCAAGATTTAACATAAATAAAAATAAATATTTAATTTTATTTAATAATTTCATGGGAATTAAATGTTGGTCTTTCTTGAGAAATTGTTACAGGCCAACTTAATAAGTCAGTGAATATCGATCATCTCAAATTTATTTTTAACATACATCTTACAGATTTAGGTTCTTATTATAATATCTAGCGGAATGTAGGGGCTTCAATGTTAATTTTAATGTAGTTTTTGTTTTTTAAATATTTTATACTTTAATTATTGGTAAAAAATTGGCGACATTTTTAGAATCTAAATCTGCAAACGTTTTATTCATTTTGTCAGCAAGTTCATTCTTGTTAGTATTGGTATAGGTCTTTAAGAATATGAATTATTAGTATAACAATATAAATTATTATAACAGTTCAGGGATCAATTTGTGCATGAAAATGGAATCAAATAAATTACCATTTCCTGTGAATTCACGTAATTGTTTAAAAACAATAGGTTGGTCCACCAGTTTTTTCGACAGAACTCAGCTTCAGGATAAATAATGAGTTTCCATAATGGACCATCACCCGTATATGGCAAAATAAATGCAAATATTAAAATGATTGTCGTGTACGTCGGAAGAATCCTAAAATACAATTAAAAACATACACTGAATTATTTTTCCATTAAATATATTAATTATATTATTATTATTACTATTATTCGGTTACGATTTTTAAAATAAAACTTCCGTTATTCACATAATTAATAAACACCACAGTAAAATTAAAAAAAAACACTGAATACGCCTTAACTGAGGTAATGTAATTCTTAATACTTTATTTATTTTAAAGAATACATTTTGATGAGTTACGATTTTAGTTTATTGTTAATTTTGAATTGTTTATTTTAAAGATAAATCATAAGTTAAAAATATGTGTATATATATTTATAATATTTTAATTGATAGAGTTTAATGATGATGGATGGCAAAGTAATTTGATCAAAATACAAACTATTTAACAGTATACGAGTACAAGAAAGGTAATTTTAATTTTAGTTTAAAGGTGTTATTTTGATGGATGACGGATGTAATACTCTAACATTTTAAATCTGAGTAAAGGATTAAGTATGAGAATTTCTATGTTCATGGTAAGAGACAATCACTGATAAATGAACTAAATCAAAATGCATGAATTCAAAAACATTAATTATGGGTATTAAATATCTATACTATAATACACATCGAAATCTAAATCTAGTTTATGTACTAGAATATTGGGTACTATTTTTTTATTCTAAATATAAATATAACTGAATGAAGAATTTTTAATTTGCGTAAAATTTAAAACATTGATACTAATTTCATAGATTTTATGTTCTCAACAACTTTTAGAAATAATTTAAATAATCAATTTTTCTAATTCTATTTCGCAATTTTAATTTCGTTAAATGAATCTTGCAGGTATGAAGTTTAAAAATTAAATAGTTTAATGAAATAAAAATAGTAAATTATTTAGTGTGTTTCAGATATAATTTAAAATAAATTATAATCTTTACGTTTTATAATGAAATTTTTTTTTTTTTTATTTACAAAGCTTTTAGGCTCTTAGCTGCTTCAACTAAATTTTTCCAGCCTTCCCCACCTTCTGAATTTTACAAATTCTTGGATTCATCAATCGCTTTAATATTCTTCGCTACCCTGTCTATCCACGGCTGCCGCGTCTTTCACGTGGCCATATTCCGGGTAAGGTTTTTAATACCACGTTTTTAATATTTTTTTCATCTACTCGCCACATGTGGCCAGCCTATTCGAGCCTTTTGACAAATGACATATATTTTATGCTTGGTTTATTATATAATTTTTTTAATTCTGTATTTTTTCTTCTTTCGTACTGCAAAGTGCTTGAGTTTGTTTCTTAGTATCTTTCTTTCAAAATATAAATACTGATTTTTGTCACTCTTAGTTATTGACCAAGTTTCGCAAGCATAAATGATATTATTCTTCTATAGAAAGTGTACAGTGTTTCTTTCGTTTTCCAGGGTAACATTTTAGATCTAAGTGTCTTATTCATTGTAAAATATGCACGGTTGTCTGTGGTTATCTCTGCCTCACTTCACTGTACATATTATGTCTATGATTGATATTCACTCCTAAATACTTGACATCTTCTACTTGTTCAAACATAAAATTATCAACTTTAATACGAGATACGTCTTCCAGAAATCTTGACAAAATATTGTATATTGTTATGGCATCATTAACGATTAATCCAATTTAATTTCTGGCTTTGATTAGTTTTTCCATTGTGTGTATAACCTCTGATTGAGTATTGTATGATGATTAATATGATGATGTCATCTGCATACGCGAGAATGGTCATATTTCTATTGAGTTCCACGCAGCGCCTTTTCTCTACATTTATATTGAACAGTGGAAAATATATGACTATATTGTTGTTCAATATTTTTTAAATTTTAATTAAATTATTTATAAATACAATTTAATACATTTTACGTCAGAAATAAAATAATCGTATATTTTACATTGTTTATTTATTTTTTATGAAAATAATAAAAAAAAATTAGAAATTAGAAAATATGAACTAAACTGTACATGTATCTGCGTCTGTATATATATGCGCAAATATTTCTTTAAAAAAATTTAATTAACTAATTTAGTAAACGATTTATAGTTGAATTTTGTTTTGTATCCAATTGAACACTTATACTTCATAGGTATACTTTTTATCACATAAACGCATAATACAATTGATCTTATTAACGAAGATCTTTCCCCAAATATGTGTAGGCTTCATCGAATAAATTTATTGTTATCTATGTGTTGAGGCCGATAGCGTAAAATAATATTACGCGCACACCGGTCACCTGTTTGTAAATGCGTGAACTAAATGTGATTTCACTACCGACCGACTATAGTGTGTATGTGTGTATAATTGTATGTAGCTTCGTCAGAACGGTTGGGTTCGCCACACAAATCTGACGAGCTACGTGGTGAGGTGGTGTGTGTGTGTGTGTGTGTGTGTGTGTGTGTGTGTGTGTGTGTGTGTGTGTGTGTGTGTGTGTGTGTGTGTGTGTGTGTGTGTGTGTGTGTGTATGTGTGTGTGTGTGTGTGTGTTTTGTGTTGTGTGTGTTTCTATAAATTATTAGAAAACGAGAGGTAACTAAATAATTGTATAAAGTTATTGGTAACTCTGTTGCTGTTTAATTTATTTTTAAAACAATAATAATAAAAAAGACAAATAAATAATTAAATAATTCACAGCAACAGATATAAATAAATAACAATAAATATAAATAAATAAAAAAAAACTCACTAATTGATGGAGCACGGACTAGCCAGCTGTAACTACGTACCTAACTACTATAATAATATATAAAATAATAAAAATCGGTGATTTGCGCCTACAAAACAATTAAAACAAAATAATAAAAACTGGCGATTTTCGCTCAATAAAATAACAATAATAATAATTTCGCCTATGACGGCTATGGCAATTGTATAAACAAAAATAATAAAATGTTATAGTAAAAAATATAATACTAATTCGGCCTATAACGGCAAAATTAAAACAAAGAAATATGTGCCTATGGTGGCTGCACAAAAATATAATTCAAAAACGGTCGATGTGAACCCAACGACAGTTCGTACGACACAGGCGACAACAAAAATAATAGCACCGGGCCTTTTACAATTATATAACTCACACACATATAAACGGCAAACCATAATCGATAATAATTAAAAGTATAAGCAATGATATGTGTTCGCGAGTACGTGTGGGTAGAGTATCGGTGGTGAACCGAAATAGACCGATGACCGTGAGATTAATAGTTATAAGAATAATATGTTGCGTTAGTGGCGCAAACACTATGATTATGGTCAGTTCGGTATTGATATGAAAAAAATGTTTATGTCAAATCTAAAATATGGAAAATTGGTGTTAATGTTTATTCATCCATACTCCTTGTTCCTTGTCAAACAAATACGTTTTGTGTTCTAACAAGTTATAACTATGTAGTGCAAGGTAATGAATTGTACTTAACTCAATGACTCAAAACATACTATAAAATGCTAATGGTTAATGATCAAAGTTTTCATATATATAGTGAGTGCGTTTGCTTTTTTTGTTTTGTTTGTTAATATGTAGGTAGTTAGTACTTGATTGCTAAAAGCTTAATAAACTACTGATCCATTGAATTTACCTGATCAATCGGAAAGTCAATAGGTACACGAAGTTTAACGATTTTCCACTGTTCAGTCGATCATTGATAATGATGAACGTGAAAAATCCACTTACGATAAAGAATATCTCAACAGTGACCGGAGACTTGAGGATCGACAGCCAAAAGTCAGTTAAAATCTGCGAAAGAAAGGAAATAAAAATTCGAACCGTTTTTCAACAATTTACAGTATTATATTTTCCGTACGTGTTCCGAGTACTCCGTGCTATGTGTCGGCAATCCCAGGTCCAGAGCTACCCTGTGTCCCACGATTACGGATATTATTCCAAGCGTTTTGAGACCGTTGGTGACAGCGAACTCACGATTTTTTATGTCACCCATTAAATTCTTTGTGTTCGACACCATCGAATACGAGTAGAGACATTCACCTGAAAAACCGAATAATTTAAATGCGTCTGAATCGATTATTTTGAATGAATCCGTACCCGACCGATGTACGGACTATAGATAGGTACTCACTCCAAAAAGTCGGGTTTTTGGCTTTTGAACGGTATGAGCATACATCATATAGTGTGCCGATAACCATCAATACGAATCCCGTGATAAGTATGCCGCTACAATTATTTTGATAATACAATAATATTTTAGTATAATAAAATTTATATTATTATTATTGTTATAACTATTTATAAAATTATTGAACGCAACCGAACAGATACAATATCATAATGACATATCATAGTTATTATATTATGTGCACTTGTAAATGCAGTTTTTTTTTTTTTTTATTGATCTAAAAACATCGGCTTCTATGGCCATTAGTTTGGCATTAACTTAAACTATTTTACTATTGTATGGTTGACTTATAATAGGGCTTAAATTAGGTTATATAGCTGAATTTCTTTAATAAATTGTAGGATTTTGGTGATTGATTGAGTGTCGGGTCCGAGTGCTTCTCCGATTTGTTGTGATATTTGGTGTTTTTTTCTCGTGTCTTCGTATTTTTGACACTCAGTGATAATGTGTTTGACTGTGTAGACTACTCTACACATTTCACATATAGGAGGATCATTTTTCTCCATGAGATGCTTGTATGTGATAAATGTATGCCCTATTCGTAAACGATTTAGTATGGTTTCTTCTTTTCTTTTTAATCCTGGGTTGTGCCATGTTTGTATGTTGTTTTTAATTTGGTTTAACTTTGTGCTCTGGTTAGTCCACATTTTGTGCCATTCATGATAAATGCAGTTTTTTTTAAACATATAATGTTAAAATCTATGTATTCATAACTTATGTATTATATAAATTCTATAAACATTAATTGGTTAGAACATAATTAGGTTTAGCTTATAGCGAATAAGGATAAATGGGGACATAGCTGTTTGGACGTGGGGACAAATTAACGTCAAATATATATATATATATTTATAAATTATAAAATCATTGATATTTTATATTCATAATATAACAAATGATATCGTATCATAATATCAAATTTTATCGAATTTTATAGTTTTGGCAATAGGTACTTTTTATATCAATATATATAACTTATTGATTTTTACATTTTGTTATAATTATCACACTTTATCGAAACACGGTGATATACGAGACACGACAATACACATCTATAACCATGTTAATCGTGTACAAATTTCATTAAAGTGTACATGTAAGATGTCATTAATTAATTCAAATCGCGATGGTGAAGTTTTTTTGAATGAATATTTTTGACATTAAAATTTACATATTATAATAAATATAAATAACTTATTTATTTTATTTACTGATTTATATATATTTTTTTTGACGTTCATTTGTCCCCCCGTCTAAACGGTTACGTCCATTCGTCCTAGATCGAACTTATAGATGTGTGACAAAAATCATCTGACTTCCATGTGTTCAATAAAATACATTTTAATAATAATAATATTATGATTCGGTTCCATTTAGATAACTAAAAAATAACTAAATCGATAGTTAGATTATCTTTGAGAAAATGTTTGCATGTCAACACCAATTTTCATAAAAAAAATTTGAACACGTCATTAACGGATTAGCTATAACTAATGAAAAAAATTTTTAATTTTATCACTGCTCATAGACCATAGTATATTATATTTTCAAAATTAAATTTTATTGCCTCAGCGTAAAAATATCATCATTGCCTGTATGAACTATTAAACTATGGAAAACATTGATTTCCAGTCTCTATCTCATCCAATTCCCTGTCAAAATTCTACACTTAACTGTTGCGAGTTACGTTGGAAACTTTTCCGTTTTAATAAATCAATTAGTCGCGTACCACGTATGTTTCAAAACCGAAATCGTATTGCTGTTCTATGGCTCCCGTTACACTTTTAAGATTATAGTTTCCAACGTAACCCGACAACAGACAACGATCACCGTTTCGTGGTACTCACCAGATCCACAGGCTTCCCTCGGTGTTCGGCAGCTCCAAGTCTTTTGACGTGTACATGGTCGAGGGTATGGCCACGTCGATGACCACGTTGAAAGCCCGGAAAGCGGGCACCAGCACTCGGTCCACGGAATACTTGATGTCTTCGCTCGTACACGAGTCCGGGACGCATAGCGCCCACGACAGGGATTCCGGCCCGGTGGACCGAGGAGACGGCGAATCGTTCTGAAAATGATCGTCGAAGGGAAATCGTTACGCGGCTGTTTTTTAACCTACGCCTTTCGTACAGTATACCGACACGCAGCGTCCTGTTGTTAAGCTCGGCGACCGGTAACCGCATGTCACTGCGATCGCCCTTGTCGACTCGACGGTAATCGGTTTCCAACGATGAAAAACGACAGGGGGGGGGGGGTGCGCCGTTGACACTGGTCGCGAACAGTGGCAAGACGAACTTAAACATTTTCAGAAGCAAACATATTCTGTCGCAACCCACCCGTCCCTCAAAATACTGAAAGGCGGCCGCCTTTCGATTACCCATATCGCCACGCCACTGGTCGTCAACGTGTTTCAATCAAGTTACTGCTTACGTCCACGGGACGATCGATTTTAACAACAAGACCATGTGTGCCTCCCTCAAATGCCATTACCGATGTTTGCGGTTTTGTTTCCACCTCCGGCGGGCCTGTTGGCCGCCGTCCCACGTCGTCTTCGTCGGTAAACCGAAAGCGCATGACCGCCACTGCGTAAGCGCCACGGATCCCGAACCGTTCGGACGACACGCTCATACACCGGTCGAAGTGGCCCAGCTCAATTAACTCAGATGCTGTCGGCGCGCCTCCTGGGTATTTGGAGGAGGAGTCGTACACTGCAGAATATTCGTTGATTACAACACTGTCGGTGAAAACATCGAATAATCACTTCCGTCCGAACGCGGGGCGAACCCGGAGCCAGAAAGTATCTATTTTTTAAGATGTTTACCGCCGACGGGTAAGACTACGCGTAATATTTGCTGTGTGATCACGTTTCCAGTTGTCGTGGAGAGATTCACAACGAGTTATGGATCACTACGAAAAAGCGCATTTTTTCGTATCGATTTGGTTTTGCGCTAACAAACCGACGAAAATTCGCCCGAAAAACCTGCCCGCGAACAAATCGACGGTGCGCGACGCGAATGCTTACGGAGATTACTGCGCACCACTAAAACTTCGCCGTCCTGTGCAAACGACAATTTGTCTTTTCAATCGGTCACCGTATCGCATTATCATCATGTCATCATGCGGCTTTGCAATACTGTCGCGTAAGATAATGCCATCGAACGGACTCTACAAGTTGTTTACTTGTTTACTTTATACTAATTTAATTTGAGGAACAATTTAATATTTAGATGATTCTTCGGTGATCTAATAAAGGGTCCGTCAGTATTGATTAATAAAGAAAAATATAAATGAGATTTAAAATAGAAAGATGTTGTGTTGGCAGTTTTATACACGTAAACATACACAAATGTAACTTTAAATGTAAACGTGTTAAGTAAAAGTGTTCAAATGTAACCACGTTTTATATGAAATATACCAATACAAATATCTTTATTGGCAGTTCAAAGGTGTAATCGCAGAGTCAAAACACTGGTTCGGAACCACAAATAAAAATTGTTTCCCAGAACGTTTTATTATACTTGTAACAGCGTCTGTATATATAAGACAACTCTAGTTTTAATTTTTACAAATATACAGTGGATTCCATCTAATGCAGATTCTGGTTAATATGGTTATTCGCGTACTAATAATATAGTCAAAACAGTATAGTCCCAAATCCAATGCATACTAACAAGGTTATATAGTTTATGTGTTTATTTATATTTGGCTTTTGTGAGCAATGTTCATTTTATCATTGCATTAGAATAAGTGTTAAAAATTAACATAATTGGATTTGTTCGTAATTATAAGATTGTGTTTATCAAAAGTCATAAAAATCATTAACTTTTAAACCTTAATGGTGTTTTGTTGTGAATTTAATTGAATGGTATTGAGAGCAAAAAAAAAAAGACGATAAATATGTAGCTTTCTTTTCCTGACGAGAATAATTTCAGTTTTATTTCAGTGAATTCCAATGCTACTTAAACGTTTTTGTTGGTGTATCCGAATACATTTTTCTCTTATACTATACGTCCTAAAATTATATTTTTCATTAATATTTTATGTATTTATTTATCTATTAATATTATTTTACATCTTTTTTTTTTTTTATAATTTCATTGCTTACGTGAGCAAAATAAAAACTTTTCGATATTATAAATGTTAGTGTTTTTGAAGAAGTTCTATTTATATAGCCAAACGCTTATTATGGGCAAATAGGTTAATTCCTAACGTGTCCACATTAAGTGGAATCCACTTTATATAAATTCTTAATTGTCATATTTAAAATTGTTTTTTAATTATTTAAGTTAAATATCATTTTTATTTGAAAAATTTCTATTTTGATATTCAAATTTTATTTTCACCGATGTATTGAATAATTATTATAATAATTATTGAAAAATTTTCATTGTGAGAAATAATATTGTGTAAAATCGACACAATTCAGTAAAATATTTACAATAGGATAACAATATACGAACAAAATAATTCGATGAGTGGTGGTGTAGGGCTTAAAGAACAATTAACTTATTATTGTTCAAAACAATAAAGCAAAAACTTAAATATTAATGATTAGTTAACTGTTTACAAAATATGTATTTTTTAAAACACAAATAATCTATATAATCAGAAACGAAACTCATCATTATTCATAATTCACGTACGGTCTTTTAAATAAATATTAAGGAATTTTGTTGAACAGAGGAACTTTGATTTTACACTCGAATTACGCACAGTGTTCTATTAACTCCACAGCGCATACCTCATTCCATAAAACTGTAAGGAATACATTTATAAAATCTTAAATATTAAATCGAAAGTATTAATTAAGATAATCAAACATCCTATATAGGTATGCAAATGTATTATACACACTTTTACTTACCTATAAATGCTTTATTATCGTAATTAGCTCTTTTTGATTTACTTATTATGATTTAATAAATATATTCTTTACCTTTATATACCTATTATACATTTATATAGTCCAATATTTCTAACAATTCTATACACTTTTTATTACTTCGAATAATGATTGTGTACCTTTATTTTAAAAATACAATTTTTGAAATTGTTTTATTTTTGTGTTCGTCTATTGTTGTTGTATTAATTAATTGTTTTTTTTTTTTTATTACATCTTATAATTCTTTGAATTTTTAAGTCATAACTTTTAATTTGAATGCATACGTTGTTTTGAAATTTCAAATGTTTTATTTGAAATTAAAATTTTTAAAAGTGTAAAGTGATATAGATTATATTGATTTATATTTATTTATAATAGGTAGGAATTACTATTCATGAAATCAATTGTATTTCCAATATTAAATGGCTTATTAAAAAGAGTTCTCATAATAAATAAATAATAATAAATAATTATTGATAATAATATAGGTTGAAAAAGATTTGGCGGAAACAAAAATTGAATCTTTTTCGTTTTAACGAAGACGATACTTGGCAGAAATGTATTGATCACCCCATTTATGTAATTGAGTTTAATAATTATATGCTTATGATGATATTTGATTATGAAGTATCATGATATAACAATGTGAAAATTATTACAGATGAAACTAAAAATATTTACAATTACATTGACATCATTGAAAAATTAGCAATTTTAAAATAATTCAAATATTTATTATTTTTATACTATTATTTTGTTCTCTTGTAAACTAAAATTCTGTAAACACACTAATATTCGTATATTGTGATTAATTTAAGTGGTTATTTTATGTTCATAATGTTTATATTATGTTTTTGAATTTTTATGATTATTATTTCTTTAATTGTGCTTTGAAATTATTTCAAAATTTAATTAATATATCATTACACACACAATATTTCATGGCCTACAATGTCTGTGAAAACCGAATGATTAACTAAATATTGTTCTTTACTTACTTTTTATAGCCCATTGAGTTTGGTTATTTAAGCTTCTCATGAATTGTAGTCCGTCTCTAGTACAATTTTTGTTGACATTCGAAAAAGGTACAAAGTCGTTCATACTATTTGCCATAATATTTCCAAACAACATTCGATGGGAATACATTGTGATGTTATCGTTTTTCAATTGTAAATTGTTTTCCATGTTTTGAGTATCATTTGTTTTCTTACCTGCATTGGGTTCATTATTGTTTTTTGAAAATTGAGCATGAGAAGAGCCAACGAAAAATAATATCACTATTACTGTAGTGATCCAAAAATATTCTGACCACATTGTCCTGCGTATACCTGGGAAAAAATTGTATGAAATGGTATAAATCAGTCAACTTAAACATGTATGAGCAATTTATCAACTATCATTTTAATAGTTGTACAGGTATGCTCCTCTGAATAAAAATCAATGACCCTATGCACGTACATGGTTAAAATCATAAACTCTTAGATTAACATGCTGAAGTAGTAGTAATATTATGGAAATCCCCTAATCACAAATCGTGCTAAGATGTAACTAGTCAAAAATTTACCATATTAACTTTCGAGCGGGTGTGCTTTTGTATAAATGCAATATTTTAGTACTTTTTTTTTTTAGTTATATTTAATTGTTATCTTATTGGTGGTCACGGGTATGAAAATGTTATTCTCTACGTCTTAGACCTTAGACTACTTTTTAAGTGTCTCGGTTTACTTAACAGTCGACAATCGACGAAGGACTTTTCATGTTGTCTCAACGCACAACACGTGCCGTTCCGTCTACCATCTAATTAAAAATATTATACATTTTTTTTTGTGTAGTTAAAATAACAAAACGTAAGTATTTTTTTATATTATCGACATATAATGCACCATACATGAAATATACATAGATATATTTAATAATTTTTGAAGTGAAACTTCTATACGCGTGCTGGGAAAAAATTTTCAAGGTCGCGACACACAGGAATGCAACGAAAATTCGTCACGTTTTATACTAATACACGCGTATGCGCGTCATTAGTTAGTATTAGGAGATAGCAAACGCAGACACTGATAGTAACGTAGGCTGCCGTCAGCGCGTGGCCTACGTTACATACCTTTATTTTATACCTATACACACGCATACGCATGACATTAAAAAAATCAAATGTATATCTATTTTTTTTTAAGTCAGACTTATTACTTCTAAAATTACTATATTTATAAAAATGTATTTATTTTTTTATGACTTACTATTACTTACTATTTAGTATTTACTGTATATTACATTTAATTAAACTGTGATATTATTATACATACAAAAATTTGTGATTTGTGAAACATGAACAGTGGTATTTTAAACTTGAAATAAAAAAGTATAGGCAGATAATTTTAACGGGCAAGTATGTACATTTTTAATTTTTTCTTTACTACATGGATAATGTTAATTTCTTACTGTTAGGGTCTCGAAAAATCGATTTATCCAGGGCATCTGAAAGTCTAAATCCGGTCCTGTTTCCCTCCCTTTATAGATCTTCTCATTTTGATTACTAAATGATTCTCTGCAAAGACAAATAATACAAATGAAACCTCTAAGACAGTAACTGTAGATTGTACATTAATATTTTGATATCACCACGACTGTTTTCGAGGAAGTTTCACTTCTATGACTTGTGCCTGCACATAATTGTTTTTTTTTTTTTTTTGTAATAATGTTTTTTGTTTTTTTTTTATTATTTGTGCATGTTGTTCTTCCAATTTTGGTACGACTTACAACCAATATTATTTATACTTTATTTTAGGTCAAATCATATGGAAGTCAAGCAAATTTAACATTTACTTTAAGATACTTAAATTGAAGTAGACCGTGTGGATGACCTTGAGAGTGGTAGTTTATCGAAAATGTGGATATAATTAATCATTAGAGCAATTAGGAACAAGACTTTTCAGATAAAGAATTAAATCTAAAGACTAGTTTGAGAGACAGCTTATTCAAAATCGAAAAAAATAAAATAACTTAATGGCAACAGAAAAAGTATAAAAATAAAAAATTAGGTAACATAATATAATTTTTTAATAAATAATTATAATCATTTAAATAAAAACAACTTTGTGAACGTATTGTTTATTTTCTTACTGCCATAATTAATATTTATTATTAAATTCAATTTATAAAACAATAAATGTATTATATTTGATAAATGCACAATTTTCACAACATATTAAGACTGTTGTATACTTAACTTTATTATTATATACTTATACATGTAATTAATTTAACATATATTTTGAGTGGTTATTTTATATTCACAATGTTTATATTATGTTTTTTATTTTTAAGATTATTATTTCTTTAATTATACTTTGAAATTATTACAAATATTGCGTGCCAACCGATTGACTGTAAATCAGTATCGCTCAGTCTGTTCAACGTTTGTGTGTAGGTAGATGTTGTTAAATAATTACTACTAATTGTGGTGTAAAAGTAATTTATTTGAATAGTTTAAAATTATTCTAAGTACAAATTATTTAATAACTAATGTGAAATTTTCTAAGTCCTAATAATTTAATAAACTGTGGAGAGTCTAAGTCTAGTGTGGAGGTACTCAGTGTGCTTAGCTAGAACTTGTCTGATTTGCGCTTGTTTCCGGATCCCTTATATACCTTACGTCTATAGTCTATTAACGCAAAGTGTTTGTGCTGTCCCCCATTCGGCCCATGATTAATGACGTAGAGATCGAGGATGTGGCCTACTGTTATTTTGATTATTATTTTTTATTTCATTTTTGCATAAAATGATTATGTGTAATGACGCGTATCCCCCTAGTTGTGGTTTAAGAAGTACGTGTGTAATATTTTGACTTAATTTATCCACAGATGTGATTTTAATATTTATAAAAATTCATTTTAAATAAACGAATTCATCTCTGTATTTCCGTGTGCGTATGCACACCGTTGCACACTTACGCACGATGGGACGCAGGGTGATTATAATACTTATTCCAAACTATTATTATCTAAATACGCGGGATGGGACACAAAATACAATTAATATATAATTACACAAACAATATTTCATTGCCTAAAATGGTTATTTAAGCTTCTTGTGAATTGCAATTCGTCTCTTGTACAATTTTTGTTGACATTCGAAAAAGGTACAAAGTCGTTCATAGAATTTTCCATAATATCTTTAAACAACATTTGATGAGAATACATTGTAATGTTATCGTTCTCCAATTGTAAATGGTTTTTCGTGTTTGGAGTATCATTTGTTTTCTTACCTACTTTGTGTTCATTATTATTTTTTTTTTTTTTGCAAATTGAACATGAGAAGAACCAACGAAAAATAATATCGCTGTTACTGTAATAATTAAAAATATTCTGACCCCATTGTCCTATGCTCGAGAAAAAAATCTAATGAAATCGTCGGGTACAATTCGGGAATAATCTAGAAGGTTCTCGATTGTCCTATCGATGCGTCTGTATCACCGCAAAAACAGTCAAATTTTCTAAACGCGACAAACACCTTTCTTCCATTGACTTATTCGCGCCGGATTAGCCATAATATATACGGTTCGTTGCTACCGGGTGTCATGTGGTGTCGTTGTTTCTTTTGTGTTGGTTGTTGCTGCGTGATTATCTCACGATACCTTGTTATTATTACGTTACGTTAGTGGTTGCCACGTAAGATCTTATTGTCGGCTGTTGCGGTGACGTAGTACGCGGTAAGAATCTTCATTTATACATTTATTGACATTAATATATTGTTATTCATTTATTGGTATTAATTTATTGTCAACTATTACTTGATTTTATTTTAATATTAAAATACATATTAATTAGAATATGTACATATACAGTGCATCTTTTATTGGAGCTTGGTTACCACGATCAAATAGACTTGTTCGGAACCTCCCTTACACATTTTCGTCCTTCGAACCGGATTCAGTATGGTCAATATGGCCCCATCAAAGTCTTCAGAATAAAAATTAACGCAAGCACGCATCGCTTGGGACGTGGCATAAAATTCCATATGGAAAATACATGCGTTGGCCATGAAGGCGAACATGGACGAGCAAAAACGATTAATATTTATCGCACGTCACGAGATATTAGATCGTGCAGTAAAGTCGTTTGAAACGGAGCAAAAAAATATTCTTTCATCACTGGTTGAGTTAAACAGGTCTGACGGATTTACAAGTTTAGATTTAGAAACTACCGAGAATATGGAATAACTGCCTAGAGAAATTACAGGGGTGTTTACGGAAATACGTGGATATCCTTTCAACTACACAACAATGTGCAACGGTAGAGCGCGAGAATGCGTTTTATGTTCGTGCGTTGTTGTCATTGCCGAAGATTGAGCTTCCAAAATTTGACGGTAGTCTTATCAACTGGTGTGCTTTTCGCGATATGTTCACCTCACTAGTGCATTAAAATCGGTCAATGATATGGACCGTTTACATTATTTAGTGTCTTATTTATCAGGATCGACCTTGAATATTGTCAAGTCGGTTCCGCTAACTTCGGATAATTACGCAATCACCTGGTATGCGTTTCGGGATCGTTATGATAACAAACAACTTCTCGCGACAGCACATTGTAATAAATTATTTTTGTTTGGATGCTTATGACGAGAATCGGTTACTTCGTTATTATCAATTGTCAATACCTTTCTCGAAAATGCGACTGCAATAAAGGAACTTGGTATCGTTGATTTGTCTGGATTCATGCTATTCTACATCGACGCCACTGCTATTGACCCTGATAATCGTCGATTATTTGAAGCAAGTGTACGTCAAGGAAGCATACCGAGCCTGGATGAGTAATTGGATTTTGTTGCAAATCGATGTAAAATATATCCACGCAAACATGGCTATGCTATCAATGGGCAACAGTAGTTCTAAAAAAGGCAAGGGCGGCCAGGCGCCCGTAAAGACTACATTATCGACTACTGCCACTTCCAAGAACAGATGTTTGTTTTGCAAGGACGATCACTCGTTATTTAGATGTTTAGGGTTACTAATAAGAAATTATGTTTTGTGTCTGAATCTCTGCGCCTGAATCATGAAGTAAATTTTTGCAAGTCGGAGTACTTATGCAAACTTTGTGAAGGACGACAAACTGTACTGCTCCATTTAGATTCGTAAAATAAAGGTTATGGAAAAACATCAACATCTAATGCAGCGGCAATTCAAAAGACGATCGAGAGCCCTGCAAAATAATACATCTACTGGCTTTTCAGGCGCTGTGAAATCGGATGTAAATGTTGTATTAGCTACTGTGATAGTGAGAATATGAGGTCAATGTGATGAATTGGTGCTGTTGTGAGCTTTATTAGATACTGGATCACAAATTTCGACCATTATCAATCAATGTGCAATTCAACTTGGTTTACCACACCACAAGGGACGAAAATAGGTTAGTGATCTTGCCCAGTAGCCATTACGAACTGTAAAGGGGTCAACCAATTTTAGTTTTATTCCATTATTGTATGATTCACCACAAATATCGGCCACCAACATCGTAACTCTACCGAAAATCACCACCTTTATACCTAGTCAAAAATTAAACCTTTCAATTCTTAAGCAATACGGTCATCTTCTACTTGTTGACCCTAGTTTTGATGTTCCAGGTCTAGTAGACATATTAATTGGAGGGGATTTGTATTTATTAATACTACATTTACATTCTGATATTGTCCATCGTCCCGATCTGCCCTCAGCCTTGCACACGTAGTATGGATGGGTATTTGTTGGAGCAATAGAAGAGTCAAAAGCATGTTCTATAGCTTCATCGTTGGCGGTCCATGTGGCATCTGATAAACATGATATAAGAGAGCTCTGATAAAGGTTTTGGGAAGTTAAAGAGCCTGGTATAATTAGTGGCCCGAGCACGGAAGATGAAGCATATGAAAGATACTTTCAATAAACTGTATCACGGGACAGTAATGGAAGATTTCATGTTGCTTTACTTTTTAAATCCATAATTCTGGATGCCATAAATAAGCAAAATACAAAATGAGACGCTCATTCATTAGGACTAGGATCGTCCTCATATTAATATATTGTTATTTATTTATTGGTATTAATATATTGTTAAACATAATTTGAATTTTATTTAATATTAAAATACATATACATAAAAAAATACATATACAGTCCACATTATATTGGAGTTTGGTTACCCCAATCAAATAAACTTGTTTGGGACCTCGCTCACATATTTTTGTATTGTTTATTTTTTTACTGCCATAATTAATACTTATAAGTAAATTAAATTTATAAAATAATAAATGTATTGGTATTTGATATAATTTAATAAATTTTCATTAAAATTATTATATAAATAACTCAATAATTAGGTGAAAAATGTTTTTTTATAGAATAAACATTTTTGACTAAAAAGGAATAAATCGATTTTACTTATATCAATTCATATTCCTCTTAAATCCGTTGAATTATTCAAATAAAATAAAATACAGTAAAAAAAAAATCTTGTTAATATTAATAAATATACCTTCAATTCGTATGATTGAAATATTTTTCTATATATTTTAGTGTATGTTTTTATTATTAAATGTACTGCTATCACAATTTTCTTGAAGTTATAAAAAAAACATTTGGTTTTAATATATTCATTGATGGTAATCGATTCATTTTAATGAATTAACAATTTTTTAGGCAAAATTCTGAATTCTAAAACATATGACACACATAAAATACGATAAACCATGATTTTGAAATGATATTTTCAAAGTATCAACTTTGTTCAATTTTCAATTTCTAAATATTGCAGTACGAAATTTTTAGTGGGAATCTGCTATCCGAAAATTATGTCTGTGAAAAAATAAAAGACTTCAGTGAAACCAATAAATTCTCCGTTTCACTCAAAATCTTATATGAGTGCCATTCGAAATATACATTCGAATTGATAGGTCACGTGAGAGAGTGAGGTTTTTATTAAATATAGGTATTGTGGGTTATATGTGAATCCGAAATAAAATTCGGATTTTTGGTTTTATCGGATTGTACACAATAAGAATAATTCATACTCTACTCGTACGAATATTGGTTTTGGTTATATGTTTTATATGTTATATGTTTATACTTAGGAAAATTATTTTATTTTTTTTTTTTTTTATTGTTCATTAGAGAGTAAGCAAATTTCCAAGAAAATCGAATAATAGTTAAATATGAATTGTATAGATACATTCAATTTGCGTAATCTTTATTTTACAGAATAATATGTGGTTACAGGTACAAAGATAATATAGAACAGTACGATGAACTGAAATTTCAGTAAAAAAGAGAAAAATATTCGTTATATAATTAAATCTAGCAAATGGTTTCCTAGAAATTAAAAAAAAAATGTATACATAGGAAATTGCATAATGTGGAAAATCGACAATATATTATGTGATTAAATATATTATCACGACGGTTAAATATTAAAAAAAAAACAAACAGAACCATTACCATTCAAAACTAGATATTTTCTACAGGTTAGGCATTAAATATCTAGCTCAAAGTTTAATTGTTTTAAAACTTTTAATTTTAACTAGTTAGTAGATTTACCGATTGACTTGATAATTTACAATAATCCTTGTTATTTTTCTTGGCCTCTTTAGGTTAATTTTAATATAATTAATTAAATAAAAATTAATCATTATTAGATTTTTAGCGTTTGAAACAAAACAAAATTGTATATACAATTTATTAATAAGCATTGTTTTGATAGATAATTAATAAAACCATAAATTATTACTAAAAGTCAGTCAATAATAAAACTAAATATATAATCATTATTTATGTTGTCCTGATGACTAGAAAACTTATTTAAATATTTAATTAGATTTTTACGGCTGAATTAAGTTTATATATTTTAATGTTTTAACGTTTAACTTATAGAGTTGATTTTAGTATTATTTTTAACTGTTCACTTATAATTTAATATTATTTTAATGACTTAACTAACTCAAATTAGTTATTTTTAACAACTCACCTACATTTAGCTGCAGCATGAAATAGTTTATTTAATGTCAAGGTATTGTTATATCAATGTGTTTTTCCATGTATAATATATTTTTATTTTATAACTCTATTAGAGAATAGAGTTATTTATTTTTAGAGAATACAATAAAAATAAATACATTTATTATTTATCATCTGAATTTTGATATAAAGGGATGATAAAAGTTACAATAAATAAATTGAAATGATATAGAAATAAGATAAAATAATAAGACAATTCTTATTTTCTTGATAAAAATTTGTTATTATTGATCGATAATTGCTCATATTGTTTTGATACAAAAATCATCGAAAATCTTGTTAAAAACATGAATTATTTTTAAACTATTGTAGTAGCTTCCAACGAATATTGGTAAAAATATGGTTTGGGTTTATATTACATAAGCAAAATCATCAGATGGGTAATGGCTATTCGATCACTTTTGTTGAGTCTATAGTAATATATTTTATGCGTATTTGTGTCGACCAATTTTCATTCCTAATCAAATGTGTACAAAGAAAAATAAAACAAAAAGGAAACTAACCAAAATACGCTCGTTTGGAAATTAATTCAGTTTTGAGATTATTAAAATAGATAGTCTATAAAAAAATTCACAACCTTACTGTAGATGTAGTTCATATTTTCTAATAAAAATATTTTTATTTATTTTTAAGTACCATTTTATTGTTATATAATTGTTAAATTCTAAAAAAAAATGTTTTGACTCACCAAGAATGTATAAGTTATTTTTATTTTAATTTAGATGGAGATATAATAATATGATGCCCATGAAACCTATAAAAATATTTTAGGAAATCCAAATATGATTTCAAATGTCAAAAAATGATTGTAAAGTAGGTTAAAATAATTAAAATTATAAATGTTGTTAAATTAAAATACCTAAACTTGCGATTAAAATTAAATTTTATTGAGATTTCTATTCAAGTCTAGTTTTTATAATGAAGAAATTGAATTACCTTTATGTTATTTTAATTTCTATAATACAGAATCATATTTTTTAATGAGAATTTACTGTCTTTGATATTTAAATAAAAAAAAAAAAAAATGAAAAAGCGTTAACATTCAGATATAATTTAAAAAAAAAATCGATTCTTAGTAAAGTTGTTAGTTCAAATTAATATAAAATATAACGTTATGATACTAGAATCAGTTATTTTTAGTTTTTAAACACAACATTTTTTTTTTTTTACTTGCCTTTAGGAAGAAAAAATTTTCTAGAAATGAACCTTTGACCAATACGATGAAGAACTTGTTTCACTTTGTGTTCTAATATTACTGTTTTCTAAATATTTTGTTTTACTTTGAAATTATTTATATCTTTGGGTCGTTTAGCGTTTATAATTTGAACACACATTTAAATAATTTTTAGTATTCAGTAGATTGCAATTGTAATCGATTACTTTATTGAACTAAACAAGCACGCACGAGTAAAATATAAATATAAACATATAAATATTATATTCGGACTACACTGGTAGATTCTTAAGTAGTGTATGATTCCATGAACCAGTTCGCCATTCCTTGTACTAGATCGTTTAAAATTCTGAACCATAAGAATAATTTATTGGTTTGTATTGTTTTTTTTTTTTTTTTTAATACTTTGTACGTGTCATTTTTAGTATAGAAAGAATGCTTAAAAATGTATCTTATAGCTTTACACTACATAGATTATGCAAAAAACACAAATCTATATAATTATGACATTTTTAAAAAATGTTGAAATACAATCAAGAAATCGTTAAATGTATTTGATAAATAGAACTATGAAAATAATTTTTAACTATTTTAAAAAGTTTATAGATTATTTATTTAGGGTTATTTACATTTTAGAATATATCAAATATTTAAAAGTGACATTAAGCTGGGATATGAAATTTTTAAATTTATATTTTGTTTATTATGTTTTTATTTTATTTCATAGAGATGTAATATGACCGATTACAATGTTTTAAAATGTTGTAGAATTGGATTAGTCAATTGCTTATTGTGAGTAATATTATATCATTACTAAATATTTTATCTGTGTTTAACAGACTTATAATGCTTAATTAAAAAGTTTATATTTTTTTAAATGTTTTAAATTATACATGACTATGATTTTAGTTATTACTCTATATTTTACTGTCTAAAATGTGTTGATAACATTACAGTGAACAAACCTTCAATAAAATTAGTATTTTTGTGTTGAGAATAAGATAGTTATCGAATATTACAATAATTATTAATATAAAACACTCATTTATTTTTAAGTTAAACAAGTGAAAAAGGTGAAATATTAAATTGATATCATTCCCCCCCCGTACCCCCCCCCCCCCCCCCGTTAGTTGGTCAATGAGTTATTTTATATTTTAAGACTAAAATTGAGAAAATATCATGAAGTAGATACGCGCTGCAGATTATTGTATAAACTAATATATTATATTATTTAAGTATATTTCTCTTGAAAATCGCTACATTTGGTTTGATTGATGAACTGAAATACAAGGTTTATCGCCAGTTAATAAATCATTACGTATGTTTGCGTATCTCCAACGGCTTTAGTAATGTCTCCATGTTAGTACACTGATCATTTTTACTTTACATTATAATACATTAATAAATAATTAAATGAACACTTGATTTTAAATTAGATTTGTGAAATACAAATACGTAATACGATCTCAATGGAAAATATGAGTGTACGGTGGAAAACAAAGGATACGCAATTGCAAACAATTTACAAACGACTGCCAAAGGATATTATATTAAAGATTTTAAAAATAATAAATACTTACTCACAATAATATATAAATTTGTTTTTCGATATATTTGAATTTTCAAAATATTAATTGTTAATGATTCTTCCAATATCTATGTTTATTCACTATAATGATAATGCAGTTACACTAATATAATATGAACTGTATACATAAATAAAAGTTACAATTATTTGTTGTTTAAATATTTAATTCGCATGCATACAAAAATAAAATCCATTTAATAACGGCGGAAGTTAAAAAAAAGAAAAACATGAACTGTGCGAATAGTGTTCGTACAATATCAAGATTCCGTGGCTAATCCTATAGTAGTTCTTCCTTGTAAATCGCTTTGACCAAACCCCCTTCTACTACTCGATCGTAAACGAATCCAGAGTTCAACGTTGTGTAAACTCTGATATATGTCCACCAGAATACAAATGGAAAAAATATCGTTTTTAATTTTGAATTCAATTCGCAAGAATACGTGCATGATCCAAGTCTTATAATTGCTAGTTTTTAAAAATATGTCACTCAACATGAAGCCGTTGAACCAACAGTTAACAGTTAACAGATTTATCAAAAAAAAATAATTAATATTATTCGTGTATCCTATCTATGTTCACGTAAATCACAAATAATGCTTTCAAGTAATGAGGAACTAGAGTAAACGAGTGTATTCAGTTACAATATTGTACTTAAGAAACCAAGATTCGAAACGATAGTTTAAATTTTTGTAATTTAATTTTTAATCAATTTTTAATAACAATAAGCATGAACGTATACATTTCTTGTATCCGACCATTATGATACCAGTTATACCAGTTATACTATGAGTTGTTTTGCTGTAAACTATTGCCAACACTATCTATGTTCGTGATAATCACACTTATTTTGGATACACAAACCAAGATTGTTTAATCATATGTACTCAGAAAATAATATTTAAAAACAACTCGAGAAATATTTTATTCCTAAGTTTAGGTATTTACTAATGGTTTTATAGACGTTGTTCGATAATATGTTCCTTATAATTAAAAGTTATTGATCATTTATTTTTCTAGATCTTTGAATATAGCTAATTGATGTAAAATAATAACTATCAATTATTAATTCAAAGTTATTATTACGATATTATGACTTATAATTAAGTCAAAGTATACCGTATGGATATAAGTTAAAGACTATGTTGATATATGTAATTTAGTTTGAAATATGTTCTTCAGAAATTTTGAAATAAATAAATCAAGATTTATCTTTTAAAATTGAAACTTAATAATGTAGGTATAGAAAACATTTCATGCTAGTTGTTTGCAATATGACGTATAAGCAATTATTGCTTTATTAGTGTAGAGATTAAAAAAATGTGAACGGTTTATATAAAATGTATAGATAATGTAGAAGTAGGCGAACGTCACGTTTCATTTTAAGTTGAAAAATATGATATACATTTTTTCAACATTTGTATGTAACAATTACTGCAGTCAGCGAAACCAATATTGTTAATGAAATCTATGAAAGCCAATTATAGATTTACACAAAATTTCATCTTCATCTCAAGTATTTACACGATTTCTTAAAAGATAATTAGAAATTAATCGTAACGTATTTCAATTGCTTTTTGTGTTATATTTGAATTCGTTTAAAAAATCCTCGCGAATACTTTATTGCACATAATTATCGATTCAAAATAAGTCACATTCAAAATAAATAAATTAGTGTGAATCTTATTGTTTTTTTCTACGATCAGCGTCTGACTAGTTAGTCATCCATGGGAAAGGCAATTTTTATTATTGTTTTACAACAACCAATCGTACAAAATACTGATAATCAACGGTGGTGGTAAAAATTGCATATATGATTAAAAATTGTAGGATATTTTTGTTATTACTAAAACACGATTATATTTTTTCCACAAATAATTTTGTTTTGAATTGTTTTGTGTGATATATTTTTTTAATAAAATACTATAAAAGCTAATACATCTGATTCATCTTGATTGAAAATTATTTTATAATACAGATTTTGAACATCATAATATTTTTACAATGATTTTGTCAAATTTATTAGAAATTGCTTTTTAATAACCAAAATTTACTATAATGATATAATAAAATACTAATTTACAAGAAGTCTGGATATGGCACGTGGTAATTTAAATAATACAGCAGTATAACAACCAGTTTAAGCATACAATTTGTAATGCGCTAATGGCTAATATATAAATTTATTTTATTTTATAATTACTTATAACTAAGTCAAAATATATCGTATGGATATAAGTTAAAAACTATGTTGATATATGTAATTATATGTAGTTATATGATTAACTAAAAAACCAAAATTTGTCTTGTAAGAATTTAGAAAATATGTTTTTCTATTTATACGTACATTATACATCTTACCTTCTATTTGGTTATCCATGTTCAAAATAAAAAAACTACAATGAGTTGGTAAAAATATCAAAAACACAATCAATGGTGTAATTAGAATATACTTGTACAATATGAATTAATATAAATATTGTACTGTAGCTAAATAAGTAGGTACTTTTCACGTAAGATTGTCACAATAGTCATTTTACCAGATAAAAAATATGTGTAGGTACTACTGATTATGCCTTATCTTTATATTATTACAATCTATAATCTTAAATAATAAAAGCAAAAGTATTATTAAATTATATCGATCAAAATTAAGTATTTAAGCAAAAACCTAATTTTTACAGATATCTGGTACTTTTGAAGTGATAATAATTTGTGAACGTAATTGCTGCAAACAGCCGCTAATAAAATATACATAATTTAATATGCAAGAAGTTCTTCTTTAATATAGATGTATTTAATATAATGTAAATTTGAGTAAATTTTATTCAGTCTTCGGAAAAAAAAAAAACGCGTAATTCTGAATCAATTTCATTATGAATGCAATGAAAAAAAATAAAAATATAACGTATTATTATTTCTATTTATAGAACAAGGATAGAACTATTTGAAAAATAATTTTTTTTTTTTTTTAGTTTTAATGTGCCAAAAAAAAAATAAACAATTTATGCCCTAAATTAAAATAAAATATCCGATATATTGAAAAATATCTCATTGAAATAGCTATAACTTGAGTTATAAAAATATTTATAAATTTCCAGTTACATGTCCGACCACGACAGGATGTAGACATAAAAAAAAAAAATTCAATTTTTAAATCAGACAATAAAAACCGCCTAATTTTAATTTGTGGACCACTGTGTGGCGTGCTTATGATCACTGTAAGTTAGAGTACCTACAGAGAAAAAGATGGTATCATGAATCCAATAATTATCTTGTTGATTTGATATTTACCATAAAATACAGACATACACCTACGTGTTATTTTTGGACCAGTGTAATTAAGAAGGTCAGTTGTAATGTTCATACGGTGAAAATCTCAACTTCACCAGTTCAAATAGAAAAATAATAGATCAGTGCAGATGCGTCGAAACATCTACTGAGCGAATATATACAATAGTATGTTGTTGCATTGTTGCAGATGAGTGAACATTTAATACTCATTAAAAAAAAGGGGCGTAGCAATACTCGATAAAAATTTAGTTGATGTAATATTTTTTTATCGGTTTTATTTTTTTATTTATTACAACATTTATTAATAATAACTTATTATTTTCCATGCAATAACAGCATTCATAAAAAAAAAAAAAAAAACTATTTATTTGTCGTACACATAACACGCGACGTGTTTTTGACGATATTTTCTTCTATGTGGTCGATGTATGCGGTCTCGATTATATAATATGTAGCCCACCGAAATTTGGATGTAAAATTACATGCAAGCTACCTTACTCTCCTCTCCCTATCTCACCAATACCGTACGTATGACCCACATGGTTATTATTATATTGCATTGTGCCTTTTTTTTGTTACCAACAACGTAAATCGACAATATCTACATTATTTAGTAGTTGGAAACAGTGGAGCAAAAAATTTTTATAAAATGTACTTTGTTGACTACAAACAGTTTTTAATACTAGCTGACAATAGTATACGTAATTACCAATTAAAACGTTTAATAACGTTTGGTATACCAAAAATTGTGATGTACAAGTTTACATATGATCTATAAAGGTATGGGTGAACCATATATTTCAGTTTAAACATACAATATACATATTATTGATAAAACTGAATTAAACTTAAATGCCATTAAAAACGTAGTTATTTAGTAAGTTTATTCATCGAGTTACACGACAAAAATTATATCAGTTCATAAAGAAAAGTCCAGTGAACGATGCTTAATCAAAATTAGCTGTGCATATTTACGTAATTTATATTAACCGGTGATTGAAATTGAGTGTATTCGATATTTGGTATAATATTTCTTTATAATGAAATAATATATTTATTTTTAATTATGGCTTTATTAAATAAAATATGGTAGACTAAAGCAACGTCGGTTAGATACAGTCAAAAGAGATATGAAGGAGCTGAGACCAGATTGGAATGAAGACATGGACCATGCGTATAATAGAGAAGAATGGAAGAATTTAGTATTGACAGCAAAGGGCTAAATTTCACTAAATGGCCTGTTACGTAAAAAAAAAAAAAAGTATACTAACATAAAGTACTACACATACTATCCAGGAGAAAAAAATAATACATTGAATTATGTTTTAAATGTTTTAAAAATCAACAATGATGACGATGACGTACAAAACGTTATTGAAGAAATTAGGAAATGTTTGGCTACTTCATTTTTTAGTAGGTATTTGTGTATTTGTTTATTTATTTATATTTAAATATTTATTATATTTTATACAAGTGCTAATAATAGCAAATTTTATATAATTATAGATATTTTATAAAATAGAACAGTAGTAATAGAAAAAATGAAAGATATACTAATTGAACAGATATAAATAGTTCTGAATCTCTAGGCCGCGGTCGTCTAACTATAGCATTTGACGAAAGTAGTACGCGTTCAAAACGACGAAAATGCCAAATTCTTTACAAATCATTAGGTTAAAGTGAATTTAGTGAGACAACTTCATATGCTTTAAGGAAAATAGGAAATAAATATACCGCTAAATTAGTAAAAGAAGCAACAAAAACTACTCCAACAGGAGGAGGCAAAATTCGAGGATGAAAAATAAAATTACATTAAAGCCGTCTATAATGAATCCAGAAGTCACTTTGTCTTTAATTATTGCATGTTCGTTATTGAAATTCCAATACAATATACTCTGCAAAAATGTTTTTGCTGAAAAGGTTAGGTCCTAATCAAATATGTAGTAATCGAGGTCACTATGACATACTTAAAACTACTTTATATTCCTTTCCTTT